AATGAGGTCTAAGCCTAGTTACTGTATATAGTAAATATAGTACCTGCAGGTTCTTGATTACAAGGCTCGACCAAGTTAATTAATGCCGAAATGATTATTATTTATTACTATTATTATTATTATTATTATTATTATTCATTACTATTATTAATTATTATGTTACTAAAACCTACCTTAGGAACTTAGACAATGGAGAAATTAGAGAACATTAAAAATAACGACGTTAAGGGGAAAAAGCACAAAAGATATTCCCTTGGGCTAATTATTAATTATAGGCCTAGTAAATAGGTTCTTGATTACAAGGCTTAGGCCAAAGTAATTAATGCTGAAATTATTATTATTATTATTATTATTATTATTATTATTATTATTATTATTATTATTTAACATTAATTACATTACAAGGATAGTTGGCCAAGTATGGTATATTTTATTTATTATTTAATATTTCTCTTATGCACTCGATTTTTTATTTCATGCTTCAATTTTTCCCCTTTTTTCCAAAATTTCAATCAACGTCATGTTAAGCGTGGCTGTAGGTTGTCTAGTTTAGGGAGGGCCAGTGTAGTTTATCTTCTTTCTGTCAGCCTTTGGTGTACCTATCTATACTTTATAAAGGGGGGTACTAACTGTTGTTGTTGTAGATATTATACTAATTGAATAACATACAAGAAGGTCACAGTTAGTTACACACGTACATCCCATAAATCCGTAAGATTTTATAGGCCCACCGTAGGTAAACATAGAAAGAGCAATAAAAGTAAAACTCGAGCGTCACGACATTGGCGAAGTGTCTGCTCTTGATCCTCGTATCGAACTCGAGTCGAGTCAATCCGAGATGGCCCGAGTGAAGTTTCATGCAAATGTTTCGTACGGGAAAAAAATCGCGCACCGGCGTGCCAACCTATTAGTAGAGTCATTTTCTTAAGATCCGTGACTAATTTTAGGATACCTTTTTTTCTCGATGGATTTGGCAAGATGGACCAATTTAGATAAAATATAGCTCCTATATACCTCCCAGATATTGGGGGAAAGTCCCGTTTGGGGGCGTTTTCCAAAATGGCCGCCTGTTGATTTGGACAATTGTATCTCGATAACCACTGGTCAGAGAGACTTGATTTTAGTCTCATATTGTTCACAATATGCATGTTCCTATTTGTTGTAATACAACTTTTTATTGAAAGTTTGACCTTTGACCTTGTATTGTCATATCTCGGTAACTACTGGTCACAGAGATTCACAATTGATTGCAAATTGTTCAGGAGATTCATGTTTATATTCGTCTTAATGAAAAAAATATTCAAATAGTGACCGGAAATGGTACATTCTGACCTTTGACCTATTGTAGGGTCATTCCATGTCAAATCAACCAGATTAAAAAAAAAATCCTGTATGACTGTCTCAGACTTTCATGAAACTCCACAAAAATGATCCACTATGCTAAACCAACAAAAAAAAATTAGCCTTATAGGACATATAGTTTCCGAGATATTGACTCCTCAAAAAGGGGCGTGGTTCTTCAAGATGTGCAAACGTAATTTACTTCAACTTTGGAAGCTTATAACTCGAGATTGGTAATAACTATCAGGGTCAAACTTGGTATTCTAACTTATTTTTCGCCATATTTTAGAAATATGGCCTTAGATTAACAGTTATCCCTTCCCTTGTGAAGTTATCTGCACTCGAAGTAGCCGCTTTGTTTAACGATGCAAATTTTTTTGCGATTTTCGAGGTCACCCTGCGTCTATATGAGTGAGTATATACCCCTCATATTACAGATATATTATCTATGTGTAGTTGTCTCTAGCCACAGGCAAGCGCAGGCTGATCAAATCAGTTAAAATTGAATGGCATATATTCAAAATTGGGACCAGATCTATAAAAGTGAAAAATGCCAATGTCCCGCCAGAGGCATTTTATTACACAATTTCTTTATTCATTTATTTACAGGACTACATTCGTTGAGAGCTATGCTACACGATGTATTATTATGTCCTTTATCCGAACACTGTATTTACCTTTCTTTGATGATTTATGTATAATTTAACAGTGTTAACGGCTATCTTGATTTATATATATGTATACCTATA